GCGTCATTTGCTAGGAGGAGGAGGAGGAGGAGGAGGAGGAGATTGGATTTATACCCCGCCCTTCACTTGGAGTCTCAGAGCGGCTTACAAACTCCTTTCCCTTCCCCTCCCCACAACAGACACCCTGTGAGGTGGGTGGGGCTGAGATAACTCTGACACAAACTGCTCTTTCGGGAACAGCTGTGCCAGAGCTTGTTACTGACCCAAGGTCACATCAGCAGGTGCAAGTGGAGGAGTGGGGAATCAAACCCGGTTCTCCCAGATTAGAGTCCGCACACTTAACCACTACACCAAACTGGATCATGTTTGCAGACCCTTTCCAGCTTGAATGACTTCTGCAGGAACCAGCTTCAGAGGATGCACAGTTTCAGGCTGTCCCCCTTTAATTCCAGAGGGGTAGCTGTGTTAGTCTATTGTAGCAAAATAAAACAGAAGTCCAATGGTTCCTTAAAGACTAAAGATATCTGTTCCAGCCTAAACTTTTATGAGCTTATTTGTTCAGATGTCATGAAGGGGAAGCAGCCCCATAACTAAGGACTTTTTAGGGAGGGGGCCTGCCCCCCCACTAATCCAATCAAAGGCCCCAGGGCAAGGGCTGCAGTGGCCGCAGCTTCCCTCCTTCTCCCCCCTCCCCTTCCGCAAGGGCAGGCCTTCCCTGTGGAGTGTCCGGGTCCAGCTCCCTCCCTCCCCAAGGAGCCACAGTGCTTCTTCCCACAGCACAACACCAGGGGCAGCCTCTGGAATCACTGCCCTTGTCCTCCCTGCCAATAGGCTGACCGGCAATCAGGGGGAGTTGGGCTAGGGGAGCTGAGGCTCAGGAAGGGGCCCATAAAAACTGCTAGGGGGGCGGGGCCCACAGGCCCCACATTAGCTATGGGCCTGAGGGGAAGTCATATTCCATATTTTTATAGGGAAAATTGCCAAAGGGGAGGGAGAAAGGAAGAAACTGAAGGCTCAGTGAGAATCTTGCCCTAAGCTTTGGTATTGGCTGTGGTAGATGCAGCAAACTGATATTGGTTTCCAATTAAACAAGCTGGCAGTGCTGGGGATGAGGTCCCAGAAAAATCTCCTAGAGTCATAGCCAGTGTTCCTTCTAAGCTGAGTTAGAGTGAGCTAGCTCACAGTTTTTTAGCCTCCGGCTCACACAGTTTTGTCTTGGCTCAGGAAGGAGGGCTCCAGAGCAAACTGATTTATGCAGTAGCCAAATCGCCCGCTCACAACTTTAATGTCGGTAGCTCACAAAGCACAATTTTTGCTCACAAGACTCCACAGCTTAGAGGGAGCCTCTGTTTCAGGCCAAAGCACCCTGCTCAAGCTGGTTGACTGCTGTGGGTCTCCTAGGATTTAGCTCTCTAAATCCAATTCTGGGATCAATAGCACCACCCTTGCCATACTGCTCTAGCAGGGTGCTTCACAGCTGAAATTGATGGGGTATAGCAGTGGCAGCTGAGCATGGCGCTGACAGTACAACACTGAGAATGGGGAAACCTGCTGAAACCATTCAACTCTGACCAGTTACTTCCCAGATTTATCAGATAACTCTTGTCTCTGTGGAGCCAAGTAAGGTAATTCTGTCTAGAGTGATTATACCTATGTATTGAAAGTACTTCAGACCTATCTTTTCTAAAGCACAATGTAACCATGTGTGCTTGTAACTGCATTGTCTGTACTGTGCTGATGCTATGTCTGTCAAATGTCTGTACATCTGTGCATTTGGGATAAGGGGTTGCTGTGTGTTTGACTGGACTGTCCTGCCTCTCATGCCTCTGCATGAGCAAGGTTTGAACTGCCTGGACTACAGAAAACGTGCTTCCCTGCATATTCCCAGCGTGCCTCTGGACAAAGAAGACAAACGCCATTAGTGCTCAGTTGGAAACTTGGCAGAACAACAGGTTTCCCCACCATTGCTGAACTGTGGGAAACCACGTAACCCGGCTTCCTATCTGGTTTTGGCATCACAAAGAACACATCCTTTATTGCCTCTGGACCAGGGACATCTCTGCAAGTCAAAGGTTGCCACTGGAAACAACGGTTTCACACCTGGCCACATGGCTCTCTTTGAAGTTAGGGTAAAGCATTTGAATATTGCCCCCTTCCCCTCAATTAGGACGTCACAACCCTGAACCTATAGCATAGAGAAGGGGACGGTTTCCTAGGGGTTTATTGGCCTTAAGCCAAGCCCAAAAACAAGCTTTTAAAAGAGGAAACACAGCCTTTGTTTCTCTCTCTTCTGTTTCTCTGGTTAGGGCTAGCTCACCCTTCCCCACCTTTCTGCAACTTAAGATGCATGCCGCTAGCCAGCATGCTAGCGAGAACCCCCCCCTTCCACATTAGGCAACCTAAGCTCTGCTGCAGGAGATTCTCTCGGGTTTCCTTGGGAGTGCACACCAAGGAAACACACACGTGGCTGGTTTGTCTGCCCGTGTGAGAGAAGAATCCCTTGGTGAGACCTTTCGTTCCTGTGGTGTTCCCACTAAGAAGAATCTCTTCAACAAGGATCAGATGAGTATAATGCTACCCTTCTGTGTCCTCCCTCATTGTCTGTCTGAATTTATTATTTTCAACGCTTACTGTTTTCTGTAACTATTGTAACTAAAAGAAATCTTGCAAGATTGTGGGAGTGCATCTGTTTATGTGCGCTTGAGAACTCTTTAGTAAAGGCAACATTTATTCATTTACCCTGGTGTGTTGTCCCTTTGTGTAAATAGGAGTGTTTGTTTCTGACTAAAATCTCTGTATACAATTGATCAACCAAGAACTCTGTGGAATATCCTCAAAACCAGAGGATTTTCAGTATCAGATTATGACCTAAGTACCTAATACAATTTAAATTGTATCTATAATTATAAAACAAAGACAATAGAAACACTATCCTACCATACTACTGAGTGTAGTTTGGAAACCTTCTTCCAGTCTACGGAGCCTTCCTCTAGCCTAAGAAGTTCTTTTTTCTAGAGGGAGTCTCTTTGGAGGGTGATTGGATCCAGGTCCTGTTGGTTAAGGATGCAATTCAGTATACAGCTAAGGACACTCAAGGCAACAAGCACTAAAAAAATGTTTGGTGTAGCATTAGCACAGTGGGCTAGGACTGGATCTTAATTGGATTACCAGAAAGCTGGGTTGTTATCTGAAGCTGCTGCTCATGTTGGCTCTAAATCTGTCCAAGAAGATGACGTTATTCTAACTGTGACTATCAAACTTTCTGACAAAGTAATTAATTCAAAGCATGGCACATTTCTGAACAGTAGATCATAATGTGAAGACCATTGTAATAATCTGGAACAACTTTCCAGAGTTGATTTGATTAGATATGTTATTCTGCTACATAAATTACAAAGCTGGGCTCACATTAGGGACTGAACAATGTGATTTGACTTTCTATAACATTACATCTGTATTCACATGTATTTTCATAACAGCCAATCCCGGCTGGATGAAAAACAGATTACTTTTAATCAGAGAGCTCAAATGTGGCCCATTTTTTAAATCAATCTCTAGCAAAAATCCTGTTTTATTTACTAATTGAAATTGAGCAAACTTCAGAGGACGGCGGAAGACAAGAAGGTCTGGTGTGATCTGGTCCATGGGGTCGCGAAGAGTCGAACTCAACTGTGCAACTGAAAAACAAACAACAACAAAACAACTAAGATTACAGGTTGACTGAATTGTATTGTAAAAAAATTATTCTTCTGTGTTTTCCAGGCTTTTAACATTAAACAGATTCAGATAAGAAGCTAACTTCTTAGGTAGATCTTTTTTTTTTACAAAAATGTTGACATTCATCCTTCACTAGTTTTGACAAAGGCCAAAATACACATTGTTGTTGTTGTTCAGTCGCACAGTTGAGTCCGATTCTTCACGACCCCATGGACCACATCACGCCAGGCCCTCCTGTTTTTATTGTGTTCAGGAGTTCGCTTAATTTCATGTTCATTGCATCAATAACACTGTCTAACCAGACTTTCAGTTTTGGCATATCGCTGGTGGGCATGCTCCATCAGGCTCCGATGAGAGTGGCCCGAGATCGTGGCAGACGGGAGAGGTACCAGATGATTCCAGTCCCCCCCAGAGCCCTCAGAGGGGGCTCATAGCCTGGGGAGTGAGAGGTGCCTCTCCTGAAGCCACAGCCGAGGTATTGAGGCTCCTCTTCATCCCGATGGGTCCCACCGCCGTGAGACCAGTATGGCAAAAGAGACACACACTGGGACAAGTGAGCAGGAGGTTGAGCATTTTCCCTACCTGGCTGAAGCAAGTGCCTGATGAAGTGTGAGTTTACAAGCCTTAAATGCAGACAAACATTTAAGTGCAGACTCTCCCAAACCTCAAACTGAAAAGCGGCGGTGGGAGTGGCTGATCCCACCCTAGGAGGAAAAAAGTTTCAAAACAGCAACTACATGAGGTAGAGGGAAGAAAATCGAGCTGAGAGCATTACTCAGCTAAAATAGAGTATGAACTAGTTAAAAGCGTTTGATCTAACCAGCTTCAGAGACTTTAAATAATTTTTCCTTAATTTAAACAATGTCACATCGGGCTGATAAAATGGCACCTAAAGTGAGACCTTCTTCAGGAACTGCTAGTTCAGCTGCATCGACTTTAAAGCCAGAAACAACCACAAACTTCCCTAATATGCTAGCCACTGCACTGGGCCCTTTGCTGGACCAGATGACCAATCTTAATAGCAACTTTGAGGATCTCCAAAATCAATTAAAGGAAATTAATATAAAGACAGAAGAAACTGTAAAATCGCTGAAAAAAGTGGATGCCAAGATAAAGGCAATAAATCAGAGACTGGAGACAGTGGAAAAAGAGAGAGTTTCTGATAAACAACAGCTGTTACAATTACAAATGGAAAAATCATCATATGTCCTGAGATTTCAGGGAGTCCCCGAGCAAAAAGGAGAAGACCTTTAAAAGATTTTAAGCAAAGCTTTGGCGCCAGTAGCAGACCTTAAAGCGGAATCTTTACAAAATGAGATGGATATAGTCTATTGGACTTATCCAGATTATATTAAGAAAAATAATCTGCCCGGTGAAATATTTGTGAAATTCTCCAAAAGATCGATCATGGATGGAATACTCAAGGCGACCAGTGGGACTACCCTAAAAATTGAAGGTGGAGAGACAAGAATTTTAAAAGACATTCCATTTGAGATAAGAAAGAAGAGGAAACAATATAAGAACCTGACATCCTTTTTGCAGAAAAAATCCACTCCTTACAGATGGATTATTCCAGAGTTTAGCTTCAGCTACAAAGCTGGAAAGCTAAAGCATTTTTGGAACAACACCAAAAAGTGGAAAAGGCAAAAGGGAAAGTGGAGGACGGCAATGCAGCGAATTACAATAACGATCATGGATCAGAAAGCAGTACAAATTCATTGCCCAGCTCCTTGGAAGAAGACTCTGAATCTGATTTAGGAGATGCTGCTCCTAAACTTCTTAAAGTCAGATGGGACTATGATAAAGATAAACGTAAAGAGAAAAAAAGTAAGATATAAAACTAACTCTGAACACCTGAATTATGAATTACTAACTGTTAGATACTAAGATGTACCTATTCTAGCAAATGTTGCCTGTATTAACTTATAATCGAAATAGAAATCTTTAAACTTCATCTTAGCAAATTTAAATTTTAGGGATATTTTGAAATAAGCTATGTAAGCTGTGAGTAGACCACTGTCTAGCTTGGTATATTAGATAGTTTTTTTCTTTTGTATCTTCCCTTTTTTTGTAGTTTGTAGCTTCCCTCATCCTTTTTCTTTGTAGTTTATAGTGAAACACAATAAAAATAATTTAAAAAACACTGTCTAACCAACTCATGCTTTGCCGTCTCCTTTTTCTTCGACCTTCAATCTTCCCCAGCATCAGGGTCCTCTCCAATGAGTGCTCCCTTCTCATTTGGTGGCCAAAGTATTTGAGCTTCAGCTCCAGTATCTGGCCTTCCAGGGAACAGTTAGGGTTGATTTCTTTTAGGATTGACTGATTTGATCTCCTTGCAGTCCAAGGGACTCTCAAGAGTCTTCTCCAGCACCATAATTCAAAAGTATCTATTCTTCGGCGCTTGGCCTTCCTTATAGTCCAACTCTCGCAGCCCATTAGGGGTGTGCAAAAAACAAACAATAATAAAACCAGTATTGATCTTGAAAAATATTGGTATTTTCCAATGTTCCCAAATCCTAATACTGGTATTAATTTTTCTGGCTCCATTATACCCTATGGGGACCATTATAGTCAATGGTTCCTATAGGGTATAATGGAGAATTGTTCTGGGGGTATCTGGGGCTCTGGGGAGCTGTTTTTATGATGTAGAGGCACCAAATTTGCAGCATAGCTGCTCATGCCTCTCTTCAAACCCCTCAACCCCCCCCCCCATCTCAAAAAGTTTCAACCAGGGGGTCCAATTCTATGCCCCCCCCCAAGGTGCCCAATCCTCCATTGCTTTCAATGGAAGGGGGAAATGGTATTTAAAAGAATCATGGTCCCTTTAAATGTCTTCTCCAAGCTGTGTCAGTCCATGGCAAGTGAACTTGCAGTCTGTTTAAACATCTCCAAGCAGTGAGTTCACCTGGGAAGACATTTAAAGGGACTGTGAACCCTTTAAATGACTTAAATGACTTCACTTGCTGCAGAGTCATATGGCTTGGAGAAGGCATTTAAGGGGACCACAGTCCCTTTAAATGCCCTTTAAGTCTGACTATCAGGTGGCCTCGAAAATCCTGAATATTTTCAGCCATTTTGGCTAGATTAATGATACCCTAAATCTGTATCTGGCTGAAACAATATCCCAAAATATCTATAAGGTATTTTCTGGAAAAAAAATTGGCTCAGATTTAGCCAAATGCATACCTAGTACACATTAGGCATGGAGAACCTTGATATGTGTGTGAGCATTTATTAATGATAGCCAACAAAGGCTAATTTGATTGGGGAAATAACATAGGGGCTATGTATGTTACTGTCTGTTTTTCCAGTATAAACTGTCCCAAGCTGCTATTTGTTCTATTAGGGAAAATAATATAGGGATATGATAAAAGGAACCTAGTCATCAAAAAATAGCTTGAGGGGAGAGATTTA